ATCTACTTTTAAAACTCTAGGATGAAAACCATCAAGATCCAGGGATTGTCAACTCGTGGTTTCAATATTTTACTCAGTCCTACTTCATTGATAATTGGAAATTTCTTGAGTTCCTTCCTCCCTGTCAATTCCTGGTTTATAGCAATTCCAGGATGTTACTTGTATTCTCTCTTGTGAAGAACAGCGCAAGGTATCTGTTCTGTTCATCTGGCATCTTTTTATCCTCCATTATTAATTCACCAGACTCATTTACTACAGGATCAACACTTACTTTTTAAAAGTCTTTTTGTTTAAAATAGCTGAAGAAACATTTTGTATATTTTCAGCTAATTTTTTCTTGCACACGTTTTTATTGAATTCAAATTCCATCATCTACCATGAGAGGATTCGAACACGGATACCCAGAACATTACTTGGGTCTCTGGATTTACAGCCCACTGATAATACTGCTAGGCCATCGCCTCCCCTTAGCAGGGCATTGGTAAGATCACATCTGAAATACTATAGATAGTACTGTTCACCGTACTTGCAGAAGGATGTTAATGTGTTGGAAGCAGTTCAGAGAAGATTTCCTAGACTAACACCTGAAATTAGCAGATTGCCTTATGAGGAAAGGCTAGACAGGATAGACCTGTATCCTCCGGAGTTTAGAAGAGTCAGAGGTGACTTAATTAAAGCGTGTAAGTTCCTGAGGGTACTTGACTGGGTGGATGTGGAAAGGATGCTTTCTCTGACACAACAAGGTGCAAGGCTGGATGAACACAGCAGGCCAAGCAGCATCATAGGAGCAGAGAGGCTGACGTTTCGGGCCTAGACCCTTCATGGGAGGATCTGCAGCTAAGGGTCATAGTTTAAAAATAAGGAGTCAAGACGCAGAGGATGTAGAATCTTTAAATGTTTTTAGGACAGAGGCAGATAGGTCCTTGATTTGCCAAGAGGATAAAAGATTTTTGGGGGTATGTAGGAATATGGAATTGAGATTAAGGTCAAATCAGCCATGATGTGATTGAATAGTGGAGCAGGCTCAAGGGGCTAAATTGTTGTCCTGTTGCTTCTTTGTGTGTTCATTAATTGTGCCTTAAACCAAATTAATCCTTAATTTGACACTACAGAGGTGATACGTGCTGGAAAAACAAACATTAACTATCAGAGATGAAATAATGAATAAATTTGCACCAAAACTGCATAATCACTAACATAATGTGAAGTATACTTTTTGATTTGAATATTATTGTCACATGTACTTAGATGCAGTGAAAAGTATTGTTGTGCATGCTAACCAGACAAATCATACCTTACAGAAGTACATCAGGATAATAGAACAGAATGCAGAATATAGTGCTACAGCTACAGAGAAGGTGCAGAGAAAGTTCAGCTCTAATATGAGAGATCCGTTCATAAGTCTGAAAACGGCAGAGAAGATGCAGCTCTTAAATCTGTTGATACAAAATTTTCAAACTGTTTTCTCTTCAGCCCGAAGGAAGAGAGTATAACCAGGGTCAGAGGGATCTTTGATTGTAGTGGATGCTTTCCTGAGGTAGTATGAAGTATAGATGGAGTCAACAGAAGGCAGACTGATTTTTGTTATGGGCTGGGTTGTGTTCACTATTCTCTATAATTTTTTGCAATCTTGGGCAGAGCAGTTGCCATACCAAGCTGTGATGCATTTGGATAGGATGCTTTATATTAGTGCATCCATAAAAATTAGTAAGAGTCATTGTGGACATGCTGAATTTCCTTAGCCTTTGAGCAAGTAGAAGCATTGTTGTGCCTCCTTGACTGTAGCATTGACATGGATGGACCAGGACAGATTGGGGATATTTACTCCAAGGAACTTGAAAGTCTCAACCACCTCCACCTCAGCCCCATCTATCATTTGCTTTATGCATAATTTGCACAAAAGACATCAATAACTTTGGGATGTACAACACTATCAATTGCTATTCTGTTGTTAATGTACAAGTGTGGTGTCCACCACATTATTTTGCCAAGCCTACAGCCTACTGCTACTGTATTTTTGAGTACTGCTTATTGAGCACCTCTTTTCAAATATCGAACATAATTCTTTCAAAGTAATATTTTTCCTGCCAGTTATACTGCCACATTTCAAGTAGACAACCATCACTTCCTTAAATTCTGAAGAGTAGGTAACTGTCTATGTGTGTGATGTAGTAAAAGGTAAAAGTTGCCTGAGGATCACCACTTCTTAGACACGGGGAGAGGTTGAAAATGAAAATTCTACATGGTAACCTCAGCCAAAGCTGGAATTGAACCCATGCTGTTGGCGTCATGTTGCATCACAAACCAACCAACTGAGCTAACTAAGTCCATGACGTAATAAGAATTAATTTTGATTGCTTACTTGGAATACGGTCAACAGATGTGGCACAGTCCAAAGGTAATCATTGGAATTGCAGGTTCATTGGTTACAGTTTGAGGTGAAGCAATAGGTTATAGCTATAGTCAACAAAATGAGGACAGAAACTTCCAGAAGGTGGAAATCTGATGTTAGAGAACATTGGCAGTTTCTTGAAAGTATACAGGCTTGGAAAATAAAGGCTAATAGTGTGTGTGGTATGTCATCAGCTTGATGTCATTCTAGCTAAAATACAATTTTTATTTCCATGGATAAATCTCCACATGAGCCTTTAAAAATAGAATTTATTTCCATTTAACAGAAAGCAATTTCCTGAAAAATAGATTGTTTCTATGGAAATACTCTTGGCATTACAGATTTTCATCTTTTGAAAGGGCCGGAGGAGACGAGTGGTAAGCAGAATAAAAGGTCAAGAAAAAAACTAAAAATAGAGACCAGAGAAATCATAAAAATATCACAGAGGCTAATCAGATTACAGAAAACACAGAAAGGGACAACGTAAATAGTTATTGCACAATAGCAGAATAGCCACCAAAGCACAGGAGAATAATAAGACCAGCAGTTAATACAGAAAAAGATGAAAGGATAAAAATAAAACCTAGATAATAAATGAGACCAACAATAGAAAGACCATGATGTTCTTTTATTAGCTAACCTAATGAATGTTGCTGGATTGTTGAAAGTAGAACAGTTAACGAAAATTGTAAAGCATTTCACAAAATAATTAACTTTCTGGGCTGATTTTTTTTGTATGGACAACAGTTGTAAGAATTCTGTGTGCAATGTATACCGGAGGAGTTAATATTTTGTTGTTGCTGTGTTTGTGGTTTTAATATTTCAGTCCTCCTATGCTTCCAAATTCTTTGTAAGGGTGATGAGGGCACAGGAAGGCGGGATTTCACCCTCAATCATAGTCTCTGGGGGTGGGAGATAAGTAGGAAAGTAGCAGTGCTGCAGTAGAAAGCAGACCATAGGCATCCAGAGTAAAAAGACCACTGCAGAGAAATGAGAACTGCAAATTTCTAGGAGATTTCAGTGAGACGGAATACAATTTGAGTGAGTAAAAGGAGAATAAACAGTTGTTTCACTTAAATGAGTAGAAGGTTGTTACAGAGCAGAATGGTGTAGTTCGTAAGAGATATGAGGTACGCATTCACTTATTCACAGGAAGTAGGTAATTAAATTGGACGGAGCCTGAAATTATGCTGAAAAAGTCGAACTGAAAAAGGTTTTAAAATTGCATTAGAAATAATTGTTTTGTATACCCTGTTATATGATGCCATTGTAAAATTGCAGTTCTTTTATGCTTTTCTATTTATTGGGGTTTTGTCAATTTTTAGTTTAGAAAAAAGTTTATTTTACTAGGTCACTTGATATAGATTAGACTTGAACACTTGAGTCTAAAATAAATATTGATACCATTAATAACTTGTGTTGATAAATGTTTATTAATAACCTGTATTTGTCACTAGCATAAAGATGAAATCCTGATTCTAATTCTCCTATGAATTAAAAAAGAGCCTCTAAGATTTAGCTAATTCTGGTGACAACAGTAAGTAATTGTATGTAAAAGGCTTCTTTATTATCTTTTAAACCTTGTTAATTTTTTATTTCAGATTAATGTCACTTTGTCAGAACATTATAGTTCAGCTCTTTTGAATTTTAAGCAGCCACAGTTTACGTACATGGTAGTTGAATGTGCAGATTCTAATGTTGTAGTTTCATAATTCTTATACACATTTGCGTTTCAGTTAGTGAATGAGAAACTAAATGCAATTCTTAATGATTTTATTAAACATTTTTTAAAAAAATTAGTGCAACAGTCTGTCCATATTTAGTCATTCTGAGGGGAGTATGAACCATTCACACATTGTGGAATTGAAATTACAAGCAGACAGGTTCCCTTCCCTGAAAGACATCAGTCTAGACGAAACACTTGCAAAGGGTAGTTCGGTAGCTATACTTGGAGTTTTCTAAATACTATACCAGCTTTCCAAATCTCAGTCAAACTACAGGGAAGAACCTGATGGAAGTCAGGCCTGTCAGCAGATGGAGAGTTTCCATGGGGACTGCTCATATTAACATCTGAAAGACTGGCCAATAGTGACAATGGTATGAAAGCAAGTTGTGATCAGGGTTAGGATTAGAGGATAGAAATAAAAAAGATATTAATCTCATAAATAGATGCAGATTGTGTCTCAATTAAATTGCAGTGTTACTGATCATTTACTTATATTTTTAAAAAAATAGTAATCTTTTAAGAGGGCACTTCTTAATTAAAGTTTATGAAATAAATACAGATTATAATACAGATTATACAGATTGTAATATTTTTAGAGGGTTCTATCAAAATCTTTCCATTTATTTAATGAAATTTTAGTCCAGTAATTGTTACAGTGCTTGTGTTGCGTTAAGAAGTCACAGACATGTATTTCTCCATTTCAAGTGAAACGTGCCAACAATTATAGTTAAGAAGCAATGATGTTGATTTTCATTGGCTTTGCTTGCAGTTAAATAAGTCATAATGATCTCAAGATGGGATCAGCAGTTATCATTGTCCCAGTTACATGGCTGGTTCTATATTGAAAGGGGCTAACCAGTGAGTGTTCAATTTTTTTTTCAGAAGAAGCGTATAGACCCAAAATGTCAGCTTTCCTGTTCCTCTGATGCTGCTTGGCCTGCTATGTTCATCCAGCTCTACACCTTGTTGTCTCAGTGTTCAAAATTTGGCCTGTTTCAGAGTGAGTTTTTTTTCAGTGGAAATCAGGGTGCTATGTTGAAAATATGATCCTGATTGCCATTTTAAATCTGAATTGCTTGGAGCTTGCTTTGTGTTGGTCTCCAGATCAGTTCAACAGGCTATGGAACTGAAGAGTCTTTCCAAAAATAAGTATCAAATTGTCTTAATTTGTAATCACTAATCATAGCAATTTAAAAAAAAAAGTCTGGGTTGCTGCCCAGAATCCCACACTCGACAATCATGACTGTTCCTGCCCAATCCCTGCAGCTTATTTTTCTGGTCGCTGTTCCAGCCCATTCTTTAGGCCTCAATTTGGCAGACTGCACCAGGAGCTGCAGCTGCTCTGCCTAATTTAAGATAAATTGTAGTCTCAGTTCTGGGACGTAGGAGGTCTGCTTCATCATTGTTTGACTAGCTCACCGAAACTCCAGATTCATCCATATCTCATACATATAAGACAGTTCATACTTTCCAAATTTCTATCACATTCATATATACAATATACAGTGCAGTGTGGGGATACTGTAAAAAAGAATCAATTTTTGCCTAAATACAATATAGTACAACAAATAATTATATTTTAGCTGTTAATTTGATGCTAAATATTATTTTTTGTACCATGTCTTTTTTGAAAGTAGGATTTTAAAAATTTGAAAATACACTTAATTTTTTATATAATATCACAAGATATTTTTGCATTCGAACCAGTTTATATAAGCCACTTAAAGGTTGATGTCATCATTGTACTAACCAAAGAAAATTGACAGTGAAACCCTTGTACACAACCTAGATAATGTGGGTAAATACAATAAGTAACTAAAGAAAAAAGACATCTTTGTAGAATCTTGGATCGAAATTGTATATTTTTTAAGAACTTCCTGATTTTTAAAAAATCCTTCTCAAAAATCAAGTGGTCTGATTAGTGCCTAAAATGGACTTTATGATTTTAAACTTAAGTGCTGAAAAATTGTTACTTTTTATTTTATTTCAAATGGAACCATGTAAAGCATTGAGCTGCTGCTTTTGTCTGCAATAAGTACATGCCATATTGATCATCCTGGAATGCAAAAATAACTCCCAACTTGTATTTTTTTCTTCTGCACCTTCACATCCAAAATAAGTGCAAGGAGCTCACAGCACTTTTATACTTTGAAAACTATCTGATCAATTGCCTGTGTCAGTATCCTCCCTCCCACAAACCCACTGGACCAACCATCCTCTAAACTTCCCTGTTGTCCTAACCGTGAACTTGTATCTTTCTTTAATTTTGCTCCTGTCTCTGCCATGCCCTCTCTAAGCTCATTTTGGCCTTCAGGCCCACATCCTGTTCCCCCAAACCTATTCCCACACTAAACTGCTAATCAACAAACTTCTCCCTCTGGTCCTCATATTAGCCAAAATTCTTAACAGTTGCTGTCTCAAGATGTTTTCCCTCTATCCTTTAAATGTGCCTTCGTGTCCAACCCATTGATTTATTTTAAAAAAAAACAAGGCTGGATTCCCAACATCCTTGCAAATAACTGCCCTATTTCTGACCTCCCAAATTCTCTCCAAATTATTTGAGTATGGTATCACCTCTCGAATCAGTATCCGTTTATTTCCAGGATTTCTTTGTTTGAATCCCTCCAATCAAGTTTGCTACCCTGCCACACCCTCAAACAGTTCTTATCAAAGTCTGACATGATATCCAAGGTGACTGTGGTAAATATTCAATCTTCAAACTATTTGACATGGTTGATCACATCCAGTGTCATCCCGTTGCTTGGATTACACTCTCCTGGTTCCATTCTTATTTAATTGTAGCCACAGTATCACTTGCACTGGTATCTTTTCCCACCTCTAAACCTGTACCTGTGATATCCCGCATGGATCAATCATTGATTCCTTCCTATTTCTCACTTACATCATTTGAAAGATTTGGAATCCTTTTGAAAACTGTGAGGAGGACTGTGTGGAACTCAAAGGACCTGGACAAGTTGGTACAGTGGGCAGATAGGTGGCAGCTGAGGTTCAATGCAGAGAAGTGTGAGATAATGCACTTTGGTCAGAAAAATATTGGAAAACAATATAAAAGAGGAGATACAATTCTAACGGGGGTGTAGAACAGGGACATAAAATGTGTACATACACAGATCTGAAAGGTGGCAGGGCAGGTGGAGAAAGCAGTTAAGAAATCGTACAGTATTCTCACCTTTATAATATGGGCATAGATTACAAGAGCGATGAGGTGCCATTTGCTTGTACAAGACACTTGTTAGTCCTAGGTTGGAGTTGGAGTAGAGGTGCTACATTACTGAAAAGGTGTGAACACATTGAAGATAGTGCTGATGGAATTTACAGAAGAAATGGTTCCAGAAATGACAAATTTCAGTAATGAGGACAGTTTGAAGAAATTAGGACTGTTCTCCTTGAAGAGAAGATGGCTAAGAGGAGATATATTTAGAGGTTTCCAAAATCATGAGTGGGCTAGATAGTGTAGATAGGGAGAAGTTGTTCCCACTTGTGAACGTAAAAAGAATGAAAGGGCATAGATTAAAGTGATGTGCGAACAAAGCATGGGTGATGTTTCATACAGCAAGTAGGTAGGATATGGAATGCACTGCCTGGCACTAGGTAATAGAACCAGTGCAGGCACAATGGGCCAATGGCCTCTTTCTGCACCGTAACAATTCTGAGAAAAACACAGCATTAGTTTCACATAGATGTTGACAACACCCAGTTCTGCTTCCTCTTTACCTCCTTTAACTCCACCCCAGTGCAAAATTATCACAGTACTTATATAGCATTCCCTCAATACTGGATGAGCTAGGATATCTCCAATTAAATATTCAAAAGACTGAAGCCATTGTTTTTGGATCCTGATCCAAACTCTGTTTTCTACCTAGTTACTGATTCTATCTCTTACACTGGCAGCAGTCTGAAATTAGAACAGCCTGTTTGGTGTCATCTTGGTGTCACATTTAACTGCGAAATGAGCTTCTGGCAGCATATTTCTGCCTTTGCTTTGATCACCTATTTCCACCTTTTTGTAGCATTGGTCACCTTCACAATTGTCTTCATTTATTTCCTGCTAAATCCTCATTTATATATTAATTATTACTGGAGTTGACTGCTGCAGTGCACTCCTGGCTGGTCTCCCACAATCTACTATCTAAACTTGAGGTCACTCCAAAACTCTGCTGTCTGTAGTTGAAATCATACCAAGTTCCACTCGCCTTTCTCACACCCCTTACGGTGGCTTCTGGTCAAGCAACTTGTTGATTTTAAGATTGTCATCCTCTTTTCACGTCTCTGTATGACCTCCTATACCCCTATCTCCCCAGTTCCCAAACCCCTTCTGATATCTGCCCTTATAATTTTACACACTTGAGTAACCTCATTTTTTATAGCTCTATCTTAAGTCTTTGGATCCTACAGTTCAAGCTCTTAAATCCCTCCTTCTGCCTCTCTACTTGGCTTTCCTCTTTAAATACCTTTTAAAACCTATCAGTTGAGAACACCTTTGGTTAACTAACCTAATATTTTCTTCTGTGACTAGCTGTCACATTTTGTGTTATAACATTCCTGTAAAGCACCTCAGAACATTTTAAGTTTAAAGCCCGGTACATATGCTGTTCTTCCTGTACATGTGCTTCTGGTTTTCTTCATTTGCTATTTTCTATAAAGGTATTAGACGTTTTTTGTGTTGCACAAGTAAGTAAAGATTTCTGTGCAGAGAGATTGGATGTCTGTTTGCAAATGTAACATCGAAAGAACCATTTATCTGTCTTACTAAAGGTGAGAAGAAAAACTTGAGTAAATCTCAATGGTTTTACATCCCTAAATTTAAAAGTTGTCATCCTTGTTTGCAAATCACTCCATGGCCTCTAACTGTAACCTCCCCTAACCCCACAACTTTCAGATAATTTGCACTCCAATTTGGAATTTGAGAGCCCTGATTTTAAAGCACAGCAACCATTGACAGTTGTACATTCAACTGCCAAAGCCCTAGCTCTGAAATTCCTTACCTAAATATCGCCACTTCTCTAGCTTTCCTTCCACTTTTAAAACACTCGTTAAGATGTGTACCTCTTTAGCTGAAATTTTGGTCATCTGCCTAATGTTGCTTTGTGTGGCTCAGTGTCACATTTTGTTTGCTAATGCTTCTATCTAAGAATCTGGAATGTTTTACTATGTTAAAGATACTATTTAAGTAAAAGTTGTTATTGTTGTTGTTGTTGTGAATTACTTTTGTTATGATGCCAGCTCATTTTACTATTGGAGAAATCAGATCCCAGAATGAAATCAGGCTTGATACGTTACTTAACATGGTTTTCATTCACTGAGATATAGGTATACAAGCCTGTAGATTTCCTTCACCGATAAAACAGAAGTTATAACAGCCCTTCTCGTAATCTTTCTCAAGAAAACGACTCCCAATCTGTTCAACCTATCCTGATTTGATATCATCCTCAACTTGTAGTTCCAGTTCCCAAGTTCAAACTGCTTATGTAAATGCTGGGTAATAGTAGCATTAAAATCTCTGAGAAAGAACACTTCTCACCATTTGCAAGTTTGCTTAACTACATTTTAATTCCTACCCTAGGATTTCTATTGTGTAGCTAGCCTATTTGTCATTCTGTTTCCTGTCTTCCGATTCTACTCATTTTGGCCTTAGTCATGTAACTTGATCACTATTGGGCTAGGAATCTCTGACCATTCTTACCCAATTTGGTTTATATGTGACTCCAGACCCACACTAATGTGGTTGCTGTCTAACTGCCCTCTGAAATTGCCCACTGTATGGTATTTTATCAAAGGTCTTTTGAAATCCAGATATATTATACCTTACAACAGTACAATTGTCTACCTTTTTCAAAGAAGATTGGCCAAGCATGTTTTACTAATTACTCTAATATATTTCAGTTTCAAGTTTTTTTTTCAGTGACATCTTTGAGTAAAGATTCCATTGTCTTGTGTACCACAAAGATTAAGTTAATTTGTCTATAGTTCCCTGGTCTTATTCTATTCCTATTTCAAATGTAGAAAAGGAATAACATTAAATCTCTGCGTGCTTTCTGGCACTTTTTACTTTTCTAGTGAGTATTTATCGAGACATAATAGTATTTCTGTTATCTCTTTCCCAACTTGTACTTTGCATTAAATTTTTTTAACAAATTAGTTTCCCTTCATATTTCATTTTTTTTATATCTTTGTGATCTATTTTAACACCATACCCCATCATGCAAGCCTTCCTGGCTATCAGGAACAGTAGCATAGTCCTTATGTTACTGGATAGTAATCCTATGTCCTGGACTAGTTATTCAGAAAGAGAGAGTCTGGAAACCAACAGGGAAGCTTAAGAATTTAAATTCATTTAGTTAAATAAATCTCCAATAAAAAGCAATATATCAGTAATAAGTATGCAAGCCTAAAGCATTGTTGTAAATCCTCTTCTGGTTGTCTTCCTTTAGAAAATAAAATCTGTCAGGTTTACCTGTCTGGCCTATATTTGACTCCAGACCCACAACAATAGCCTAGTAAGACACTCAGTTGTATGAATTGCCATGAATGAATATAATAAAAATAACCCTGTTCTGAGGAAGGGTCACCGGACCCGAAATGTTAACTCTGTTTTCTCCTTCACAGATGCTGCCGGACCTGCTGAGCTTTTCCAGCAACTTTGTTTTTGTTCATAATAAAAATAAAACTGGATGGATTAACTGGCATCGACCTTGGCACCAAACAAGGCAAAAGCATACTCCGCATAGACGATTCTACAAAGGCTACTTCACTAACATCTGGAGGATTGTGCCATAATTGGGACCAATGTCCCACAAACTAATCGAGCAGTAATGTGGCATTGTCGTCCCCATAAAATCGCGATTTTAAGACAATATCCCAGACACCTCAATCAACACCCTGTCTAAGTCCTGTCTCAATGGAAGGCCAGAGCCACCAGAGATCATTGAACATTAGGAGGGATTGGCCCTCAACGTATGCTTCATGAAATCCAAAGTCAATGTAACCAGATCAAACTGCCTGCTACATAACACCTACCACCCTCCTTCAGCTGCTGAATTTGTACTCCCTATGTTGAACTTTGCTTGGAAGAAGCACTGAGGGTAACTAGAGCACATAGTTTAAATGAGAATCTTCAATTTTCAGCTCCAAGAATGTCTTAGTAGCATCAAGCTATTGACTTGGCTGGCAGCAGTTCTGAAGAATGTAACTGCCAGACTAGGCTTGCAGCAGGTGGTGAGAGAAACAATATAAGGGAAAAACATATTTGACCTCCTCTTTACCAATCTACTTTTCTCAAAATGCATTTAATCCATAATTGTATTATCAAGAGTTACCAAATTATATTTTCACAATAGGATACAGTTACAGACAAGGAACAGATGGTAGCTTTTTGACTAACTGCAACAAAATGTGTTCCAAAGAACTGTTTTAACCGTGTGAGTGTTATTACTTTAAATTAAAAGAATAAACATGTATTTTCTCAGTAGCCAAAATGTAATCACGACAGCTTGCACTTCCTCAGCCATACAAGACACACAAGTAAGAAAAATTGTAACAAAAGATGTAAATTTTTTTAGAGAGTTCAGTTAGTTCTGAACATGGTAGCTGTAAATATCCTATTAATTTCCACTCCTTTCACTGAATGGAGGTTAGTTGTTTTCTTGTGATGAATGTAGAGTAGCTTTGCCCATGAAACGGGAGCTTTCTGGCTTTGCTGCAGTCAAAGTTATAGAAGAGCCACTGTCGTGAAGATATAAGCAGCAGGTTTTTAAAAATGCCCAACTTCTGTTCCTTTGGTGAATTCCTTAGTAGTATTATTCCTTTTCAGGACAGAATCTTTTAATCTAACTCTGTCCCTGGGCTGCTCGGTGTCACTTGATACGGTGTTTCTTACCCAAAATTGGATTTTGGTAAGCAGTCCCTGCATCCATTCCTATTGCCCACACAATGAGTTCTGATGACTTTAGCCTGGGCATAAAATGAATTGTTTCTGGGCTATTTGCATCTCATTGTGAATGAATTTCATTCACACACATTTTGTAGACAACATCTACCTGGTTCTGGACTTAGTGTTTACAGAAAGTGAAATACATACTAAAGTCTAATGTTAACTCCACACCGAGAGTTCTAAGGTCTCTTCAAGATATCTACTTACTGACTCAGCCAGTTTCATGTATTTGCAGAGATGGTTGGGGGGTGCGGGGATGTCACTCCTCCATTTGTAAAGGTAACTTGTCCATTTTCATCATACTTTTTAAAGTAGTGTCCTTCCTTATTTCCAAAAACTCACAGTCATAACTACGTAGGCATAATAATACCTTCCATCATGTTGTGTAAGCTCAGAAATCACATGATACCGGGTTATAGTCCAACAGTTTATTCAAAAGCATAAGCAGCAAAAACCAGACCATATAAATTCGAACCAGCACAAGACAACAGCGCTTCACAGGAGGGTCCACAGTGCTGACGATGTCGCCTAGTAAGGGGACAAAACGTCTGCTATCAAACCTCCCAGCTCAACGAACACACCAACATCTGTAACCAGCACCCAAGCTACAAATCTTCACTCAAACCCTGAGCATAAGCTTTCGGAGCTTTCGTCAGGTGAAGTGAGAAAGAAGCACGCAGAGCACAGAATTTATGAGTAAAAGATCAAAGGGTCACACAACTGATGATCTTTTACACAACTGATGAGCCTTTGATCTTTTACTTATAAATTCTGTGTTCTGTGTCCTTCTTTCTCACTTCACCTGACGGAGGGTCTACGCACTGAAAGCTTGTGTTTTCAAATAAACCTGTTGGACTATAACCTGGTGTCATGTGATTTCTGACCTTGTCCATCTTAGACCAACACCGGCAGCTCCACATCATCATGTTGTATGGCACTACCTTCAAGAGCAGGTCAAAACTGGATATCTCTGAAACACTATTTTGGATCAGCAGTGGCAGCCAAAGGTATTCAATCATGATCTATGACCCCATGGTCCAGCTTGTCCCTCTCACTATCATTGCCACCAGGACAGGGGAACCAATCATAATTCAATCAGGAATTTACAAGGTCATGCCAATGAGTAAGCATCCATAAAATTGAGATGCTAACACGATGAAGGTACAACACAGGGCTACATGCATACTAAACAGTGGAAGCAGTGGGTTGTATACAGCGATAAGCAATCCTGTAACTAACAGTTCAGATCAAAGCTTCATATTCAGTCATGAATAGTGGCATATAATTTACTAACTGGGGGAGTTGGCTCCATCATCATCCTCATTGGTGGTGGATCCGGGTACAAGTGCAAAAGACAAGGTTGAAGCATTACGACCATGTTTGGTCAAAAGTGCAGACTGAATGATCCATCTTGGCTTCCTCCACCTGCATCATCACAAGTGCCAGTCTTCAGACTATTCAATTTACTCCACGTGGTATTGCAAGATGGCTAAGCACGCTGATCCCTAACATACCTGCTTCAATGGTGAAGATTTATGCTTCAGAAGTAGCCATGTCTCTCACTAAGCTGTTCCAGTATAACTAAAACACTGGTATTTGGACAATGAATTGGCAAATTGCTCGCGTATGTCATGTCAACAAAAGCAAGACAAATCCAATATAGAGCCAGTGAAGCCCCAACAAGCCAATCTTAATTATTAACATTATAGACATTATCAACAGTGCAGTCAATAGCAGTTACTCTCCAATAACCTGCTTACTGGTGCCCAGGTCAACTTGGCTGCCTTTCTAATTATGGTTATTTTTAATCAATCTGTTTATACATGTAATGGTACCGCTGGAGCAGATGGAACATTAACCCAGGTCTTCTGGCTCAGAGCTAGGGACACAGCCACCACATCACAAGAACCTCCTAATCTCAATATAGACTTGGTTCACACATGGGACCCAACTCTATCTGATGCCCACCTCTGCCCCACCCTCTCCAAAAATGTGTAATCTGGGCCAGATGATGGAATCAGCAAGCTAGGACATTTTCAGACTTGTACTCTCCACCATCGGAGTGAATTGCTGATGATTACACAATATTCAGTACCATTCAAAACCCTTGGGTACTGAAGTATCTGTTCCTGTATGCAGCAAGACCTGCATGATATACAGACATGGACCAAGGAATAGTAACCTTTTTGTGACATAAGTACCAGCCAATGACCGTCTCCAGAAGAAAACATCTAACCACCATCTCTTTAATCCCATTCACTGTTGATTCACTATTAATATCCAGGGGAGATCACCATTGTCCTGAAACTTTATTATATCATAACTGCAATGGCAAGACAGAAGCAGTGCTAAACATGGTGGTGAGTGACACGCCTAACTCCCCAAAGCCTTTCCACCCTATGGCACTTTCAGGGAAGCAGTAGTATCCTCTTTGCATTTCTTCGATGAGTACAGTTCCAGCAATAGTCAAGAGACTTTGCATCCATCCAGTACAAGACAGTCAGCTTTATTGGCACCTTTAACATTTACTCCAATAACCATCACTATAGTTTGATATAACAAGATGTAGAGCTAGATGAACACAGCAGGCCAAGCAGCATCAGAGGAGCAGGAAGGCTGACGTTTCAGGCCTAGACCACTATACTTTGACTGCAGTGTGTACCATTTCGAAGATGCACAGCTTAGAAAGGGTTCCTTGACAGCAAATTTCAAATTCGCAACCTCCACCACCCTAGAAGGAGAAAAATAAAGACACGTGGGGGCATAACCAACTGCAAGCTTTTCAATTGCCATTCCTCCAATATGACTGCGCCAAAATCTTGGAACGTGCTATTTATGTACCTCAATCATGTAGACTGTAATAATTCACAGAGCTGCCTTAGCACCATTTTCTCAATGGTGATTAGATATGGGCAATAATGCTGGACTTGCCAGTGACTTTCCTATACCATGAATAAGTAATGAAAAATACAGAGGCAGAGTAATTATTTAATATTTATACCAATTAATTCTCATTACCTAGCTCTTGGTCAGTGGCACAGTAGGTTATCGCATCTCAAGTGTACATCCAAATTTGTTTTAAATATGATTGGGATTACTGCTTCTATACTTTTTTTAGGAAGTGAATTCCAAATCCGAATACCCTCTGGATTTTTACTAGAAATTAACTCCTGTAATCCTTACACCAATTTGGTGCCCACTCATTACTGACCTCTCTGCAAATGGAAAGAAGTGCTTTCAGTCTTTCTAGCCCCCTCGTAATGTTATATACTGCAATTAAATCTCCCACCTGTTTCCTTTGTTCTAAAGAAAAGAGCCCATTCCTGTCTAATAGTCCCTCGTTTTCTCTTTGCAGGACAATATTGAACTTCCTTAGCTCCTCATCGAATGCCTCCACTGATCTGACACTGTTTTGCCCTCAAGTAGCTGTTTCCAGTCCCCTTATTTTCAAATTGCAAATCAGCTTAGTAAAATTGACTTACTCCCAATTTAAAACTTTTCCTCTGGGTTTGTCTTCATCTTTTTCCATATGTATCCAAATCTAACTGATTTACGATTACTCCCTCTAAAATGATCTCCCACTGGTACCTGTTCCACCTGTCCAGATTCATTTTCTAAAGTCCACAGTTGCCTCTTCCCCAGTTGTGGCTTCTCACTCACGCCATCTAGTTAAAAGTGCAGATTCCCCTCTATGGCATGCAGAAACATAACCTTTAAAGAGCAATCTTGCTGGCTTTGGATGTGTACCCTTGCTACTTTCTCAGTAGAGCAGATTAAAATCTGAAAGTTAATTCTCAGTGGGTTCAGTGTGGGCCATTAAGCCAGCGACCAGTGGGGACTTGTGTAAGACAGTCTAAATTTACTCAATATTAATTTTATGATCATCAGTAGGAAGCTTTAAACGACTTAAGAGAAATTCAACTTCTGTGTCAGAAGTGAACTGACAATGCATTCACCACTGTACTAGCTAGTGATTTGCAAAATGTACTGTTTACCTGTAGAATAAACATTTCAGGTTGATGTTATTAAGACTGTTTAAACTAGGAGAGGATATATTACTGCAATTTAAATGAAATAAGCAAATCTAATAAGTACTTCATAGAGAAATCCGAAGCCGAAATAAGAATTGTTGAAAATGTTTAACTGAATGACTGGTAAATAACGACTGTATAGACCCGTATGATGCAAACAGTGATAATACTGGTTAACTTCGTGGCTGCTGAATTATTTCAAATCTAATGTTTGTGTGAAATTGTGTATGCTAGGACTTCAATTATTCACTTTATTAACAATTTGAATAATGGCATAGAATATCATCTATCCAAATTTGACGATGACACAAAGTTAGGTGGCAATGTAGACAGTGTAGATGATTGCATAAGATTGCAAAGGGATATTGATAGACTAGGTGAATGGGCAAAACTGTGGCAGATGGAGTACAAGGTAAGGAAGAGTGAGGTTGTCCATTTGGACTGATACAGGATAGTTCGGATAACTTCTAGATGGTATGTAGTTAAATACTGTGGATGTCTGAGGAGACGTGGGGCTTCAGGTGCATAGATCTTTAAATTGCCAGAAAACAGGTGCGGAAAATAATCAAGAAGGCTAATGGAATGCTGGCCTTTATATAGAGGACTGGAGTATAAAGATGCAAAAGTTATACTGCATCTATGCAAAACCCTAATTGCACCCAACTTGGAGTACTGTGAGTGTTACACCTGGCCTTGGAAAGAATACAGCATAGGGTTACAAAAATGATACCTGGGCTTCAGGGGCTTAGTTATGAAGCAAGGTTATACAAATTAAGACTGTTTTCTTTAGAATTGAGAAGGTTAAGGGGATGATCTCATCAAAGTCTTCAAGATATTAACAGGAAAAGATAAGGAGAAACTATTTCCACTAGTTGCTGATTCTAGAACTAGGAGACATAGTTTGAAATTAAGGCTAAACTGTTCAGGAGAGATGTTAGGAAACACTTCTATGCATAAAAGGTGGTGAAGTTTTGGAACTCTCTTCCACAAATGGCAGTTGATGCTTGATCAGTTGTTAGTTTTAAATATGAGATAGGTAATTTTTTGTTAAGCAGAGGTATTAAGGGATATCAGCCACAGGCAAGTATACGGAGTTAGGCCACAGATCAGCCATGATCTTATTAAATGATGGACCAGGCTCGAAGGACTGAATGGCCTACTCCTGTTTCTATGAAACTGAAGAGAGATTAGATGTATTGAACAATTCCTTGTCAGTTAGCAGATTTCTCCATAAAGTGCTGATACATAGTAACTTGACTGAGCTTCACGTATCTCCTGAAAACTAGGAGTGAACTAGGCAATGGAAGCAACCAGGTGCTTAATGCAAATACCTCATTTTATAACTTCACACGTATTCTTTTAGTAAGGTACAGGATATTAAAATCAGGATATAAGCCTGCAAATTATATATAATTTTTAACTACTTTAGACAATCACTATTTACTACTTAATGTGACCTGAAGTAACAAGGTCATTGAATTCTTGGACTTACCTAGGTTTGAAAACAAAAATATGTAAGCATGTTTTCTATTTTCGATTGTGTAATGAGACCTATCTACAAATATGATATTTGATGCACTTGAAGCCAAAATTTTAAAATGCTTTTGACTTTCTAGGATGTTTTCCAGTACAGTTGAAGCCATTTGCTGTTGTAAGTGATGGACTTATGATGTTCCTGCTTAATTACTAATCATGAACTCCCATTCCTAACAACTGAGTACATTGTTGCTAGTTTAATTAAGATCAACTTATCTTTTCCAATTAATGAAAAATTCCCTCCATACTTCTGACATCTGACTGAATTTTCCCAATGTTCCTGAAGTGATGGTAAATTCTGCACAAACTGACCAAGTACTGTGTGCATCAGTCACTGTTAGTTATTGAAAATTCCTTTTTATAATTTGAACTGCTTCCAGTAAGTGACATGCTAGTTTACCAATCCTGAATCAGATATATAGATATAATTTTTAAGTAATTAGAAATATTGTTCCATCTTTTCTCATTTCTTGGTTTTTTTTCTGCTTTTCTTTTTTTCAGACATAGCTGATAAGTGGATTTATCATGATTGCAACTGGGGGGCTTCTTCGTATTTCAGCCAGAAGACAAGATTCCTTTCGATCACGTAATCGTGTTAATAAACACAAAAAGAAAGCAAAAAAGAAATGCAAGAGTGATGTAGTAGTGGTTAAAGGCAAATTGAAGCTGTTCTCCATTTCTGGACTGATTGCTGCATTTGGAATCCTAGTACTGTTAGTGGGAATAGCAATGACAGTGATGGGCTACTGGCCTAAAGGCACTGACATTTTTGAAACTATTAAGGTCCAATCTAATGATACTAACAATAGCACCGTTTTAGAAAGGACAACACTGGAGATTATTTCTAAATTTTTAGCAAGCTATTTGCATTCTGAGAAACTGAAGGTTTTAGGACCCCTTATTATGGGAATTGGTATTTTTTTGTTCATCTGTGCCAATACAGTTCTTCATGAAAATAGAGACAAAAAAACCAAAATAATTAATATACGAGACATCTATTCTACAGTTATAGATGTACACAATTTGAGGACAAAAGATTGTGGGCCGCTTAATGGTTTTGTCAACTATGTACAATCCAAAAGCATGGATAATCTCAAATCTCCTGATTCTTTCTGTGCAGCAATGTTGGCGAAAAGTACCTTGCGGACACCTGTTGGTAATGCTGTAAAACCTATGGATCCAAAAGAAAATGTGGGTAAAAAGCATTGCGATTTTGTAGCAAACTTGCAGCAACAAATCCCCAAAGATGGAAAGACATTCTCTGATACTGTTTACAGTATTTGCAGAGACCAAATCAGAGTAAATGATAGAACCCAAATGCCCCAAATGTGTGGGACTAAGTCAATTGTTACTTCTTCCATTAATGCATTCACACTGCCCATCATCAAACTGAACAACTGTGTCTTGGAAGAGGGTGCTGCCAGATATAGAAGCAATGAGAATGAAGCACAAACATCAGAAAAATGTAATGAAACTCAACAAGAATTTGAACGTTTTGCTTCTGATCAAATGGGAAGTATTGAATCCATTTCAGCGGATATAGGAAGTGATCACCATGGAGATGATAACCAGGACATAGAGACAGAGACTTCAAATACCTTTAGGTTAAATGACAACCAGTTGGTATCCAGCAAAAATTCCCAAAAACCTTCTGCCCAAGTGTCCCAGGTTTCTCCAATTCCATTTCAGAGAACAGAATCCAGTCTTTCTCTCCATACTTTGTCAGTTCACTCTAAACTTATGAATCTTGATGACTATCCTTCCACATCCACAGTGCAGGATGAGGAGAAAGATCCAAATTGTGCACATTTAGATTCCACCAGCAGTAAGGGCTATATAACATTGAGTAATGAGGACTCTCTTCAGTCTGCTCCTGTGCTATCAGAAGCCATAGCTACATCTAGTGATGATTGTACAGAGAATCTTCATAGAGATACCATACAAGAAAGTACAATGCCAATCAATGAACAAAAGGTGGACAAACCTCAAAGGTGTGTGCAAAGACAGTACACAAAGAGAGAGAAATTGCTCATGATTTCTGGTTCCCACAATACGCTTAGAATGGACAATGTTGAAATTGATAGTAATTCGTAATTATATGCCATATAATGTAATCATATATAGTTGGGTTCAGAGATGCAAAGGTGCAGTAAAAGCTATAACAAATGAAAATAATATGTCGCTGTTCTGTAGCTATTAATGATTACTGAATGTCAGCCAAGCTCCACAGACTCCTAGAACATTGCTGTGGAACTAAACATCCAGTTTCTTTAGTTGCTTCCAAACGTAATTGCATCAGCCATTGAGTGGCAATTGTTAATCTTGATTAAACACCAATTTAAACATTTTAATATAATCAGTTATTTGTTAACAGCTTGTGAAAATTAAACATCAGACATCCTAGGATTGTAAATTTACAGTTTGGAACCATCAAAATAAGCCAATTAACGTACTGAATTCTATATTCTGACAAATCAAAGGATGTATAGATATCTTGTATAAGCACATAATGCACTAAAACACACAAAAATGTGATATTGAAAAGTGTTCAGTGTATCATTTCATAATTAAATGAAAGAAATTATTTGCATACGTAGTCACTAATAGAGGTCTAATGAAATAATAATTATTTCTGTAATCCTGGATTCTGTATTATACCTCATTACCTGTGTTTTCTAAATTGTAACCTAATATTCTAGAATTGTATTGTTTTTTCATTTGAGTTTCCCTTTAGAGCAACCTTCATGCATTTTTATCATCACAGTTGTCTGTTTTTCCAAAGGATTTATCAGGTAAGTGACCAAATCCTATACCTCATTACATATATTTGACTTCACAGTTATGTAAGGAAAGATGTAATAAAAAAAACATTTTGTCCATCAAGTGCACTTTTGTAAAAGGAGTGTAATAGGGTCATCATGTACTTCCCTGGAGTTAGGTTGAAATATATTTATATTTATGAACAAATGAAGCTATGTATGATTTATTTATTGTCACTTGCATTATATAGTGAGTAACACAGTAAAATACAGTGAAAAGCTTCAACAGTTGCCACAATCAGACACCATTTTGAATAGTTTTAGAATAAAATGGATGAAAGATATAATTGAAAGAAGAGTCCTGACCTCTGAGCTGGCTCACCAACAACACCTGCGCCGCCACCCCTCCTCCACCAGGCATACCAATGTAGGAGTCGCTACTGTTTAGGTATCATCCTTTTGCCACTGTTCCAACCTCGCTGATGCCGGGTCCCACGCTGAACCCACACTTGTCCCGCAACCAGGATTCACCAGCTCCACTGCCACCTCGATGATACCGGGAGTGCCGGCTCCAGACATACCATGCTGCTGCCACTGCAGCCACCACCTCACCAATGCCAGGAGTCGCCGCTCTGGGCCTACTACCACCAGGAGTCCCTGGCTCTGCTGCCAGACCAGGCCACCTCCGCCATCTCACCAAGAGTCCCACTCTGGCTACTATTCTCCGAGATCTTGCCTTGCCAGCACTGCCATCTTAAAAAATCCATTGCCGCCAATCACTGGAGGAGCTTTGTGCCGCCAGTCCTGAATGCCAGGATGACATCCCTGCTGCCACTGCTGCCATCACCTTCAGTCGCCATGAGCCATGTTCCCAACCAACTCCAACCACTGCTGCACAAGGCTGCAAAGAAAAGAAAGATAGTAATGAAGAAATGAAAGAAAAAGAGCAGAAGTAATAAGAAAGGGAAAAAAAAGAAAGAAAGCATGTAAGGGTGAATGAGCGCCAGACAAAAGCCAGCATACAACCCTGCTTCTCTGCTGCCATCTTGAATATTAGTGAGTTAGATGGTCTCTTGAATAGAAGAGTAAAATATTTACAGTTGTATGACATACAGGGCTGATAGTTTAAAAAAGAAGAAAAATTAAATCCTTTGAACTATTAGCTCACAATCAGCAAGCTTAATTGGGGAAGATATTGGAAAGCATTTTCTATAACTATATGAAACAAAATCTAGAGGGTAGCGCTTATGTTGAGGTAACCTAGTATATCTTTAGGAAGAAATGCTTTCTTACTAACGTAATTTTACTTAAAAATAAATGCTCCCCATAGATGGAAATTTCCAGGAGGGGATTGTTTGAGAGAAACAAAAAATGCAGAGATATTTATTAAGATTGGCAGCATCTTTAGAGAGAGAAAAGTTAAGGTTTCAGGTTGATGACCTCTCAGGACATTCATGTTGTTCAAGAGGTGGGTGCTAAACAAATTGTTACAGGAAGGGGCAGAAAATACAAAAAGAAGAGTGCAGCAGAAATTTGGACTAGAATAAGCATAATGGTTCAAAAAAAAGTCAAAGCTTAAGGCTCTTTATCTGAAAATATCTAAAATTGTAACAAGCTGATTGAGTTGATGGCACAAATGGAAATAAATTAATATATCTTGATGGCTATTACAGAAATATGTTTGCAGGGTGACCAGGACTAGGAAATGAATATCCAAGGGTTTTCAACATTACAGAAAAAAAGGCAAAAATGAAAATGATGTGGGGTAACTTCCGTAAATGAAAGCATCAGCACAATGGTGCGTGGTGATATAGGTGCAATAGATCATGATGCAGAATTAGTTTGGATAGAAATAAGCAATAGCAAGGGAAAGAAGTCATGGGTGGGAGCCATCTATAGCTCCTACGGAGTTTGCTCACTGTGGGACAAAATATAAATTAGGAAACAATGAAGGCAATGTAAGAAGGGCACTACAATTGTCATGGGTGATATTAATTGTCATATTGTCTGGACATTTCAGATGGGCAAGGTGACATGGAACACAAATTTGCCGAGTGCATCACGGATTGTTTCTTAGACCAATACATTGTAGAACCTATACAGAAACAGGCTGTCGGTCTTAAACCTTCAATTTAAATAGAGACCATTACAGAGATATGAAGAAACAGTTGTCTGAAGCGTGCTAGTAAAATAGAGTAAGGGGAAGGTAGGTTGATAAGTAGTGGCAGACCTTTAAGCAGATATTTCATAAAGTTCAGCAAAAAATAATTCTAGTTAAAAGAAGGACTTGTTGAGAAAGATGAACCACTTGCGGTTAATAAGGGCAGTTAACAGGAGTATCCAATCAAAAATAAAGGCTTACAAAGTGATAAAAATTAGTGGCAGCCCAGAGGATTGGAATTTTTTAGGAACCAGCATAGGGTTACTAAAAAGCTAATAAAGTGGGAGAAAGCTGGTTATGAAAAAAGTATAAAAAACAAATAGCCAAAGTAGTTAAAAGAGTAGCTAAAGTGAGTATGGAATCCTTGGATGAATACACCTGGGGAATGGATAATGGGGAACTGGCAGATAATTTAAACCAATCTTTTGTCTTCATGGTGAGTGCACGACAGACATCTTAAAGATATCAGATGGGCAGGGTGCTAATGGGAGGTAAAGTCTTGTAACTATTGCAATTATGAGGGACAAAGTGTTTGACAAACAATGTGACTGAGGGCAGGCTAGTCAGCAGGACCTGACAGCCTGCATCCAAGGATTTCAAAGGAAGTGACAGAAATAGTTGAGGCATTGGTTGGAATATTCCAGAACTCACTGGATATCGGGAGGGTAGCAGAAGATTGGAAGACCACGCTGACACCCTTGTTCAAGAAATATAACTCCTCTTAAAACATTCAATGTTTTTTGGCCTCAACTGCTTTCTGTGGCAGAGAATTCCACAGGCTCACCTAAGTGGCTTACCAAATATCTTAGAAAGTGACCCCTGATTCTGGACTTCCTGGCATCAAGAACATCTTACTTGCATTTACTCTGACTAGTCCTGTTAGAATTTTGTAGTGTTTCTATGAGCTTCTCCTGTCATTTCTTCTTAACTCCAGTGAATATAGTGCTAACCTATGTAGTCTCTCTTCCTTCATTAGTTCTGCCATCTCAGGAAACAGTCTGATAAATCCTTGTTGCACTTCTTCCAGTGCCAGAACATTCTCAGATAAGGAGACCAAAACTGCACGAAATACTCCAAGTGTGGTCGTATCAAGGCCTTATGCTATTGCAGCAAGACATTTCTGTTCCTGTACTGCAATCTTCTCACTATGAAGGACAACTCACTATTTGCCTTCTTCACTGCCTGCTGCCTCTGCATACTCTTTCAGTAACTGTTGTGTAAGGATACCCAAGTCTTGCTGCACCTCCCCCTTTCTTAAACTATCAACATCTGCTTGTCTGTTTTTTTTATGTTACCAAAGTGGATAACTTCACATTTATCCACATTATACTTCATCTGCCAAGCAATACTCAACTTGTCAAAATCATAGAGGCATGTCTCACAGTTCACAGTTCATCCTCCCACCCGGCTTGGCATTATCTGCAAACTTGCAGATATTACATTTAGTTTCTTCTTCTAAATCATTATTATTACTGTTAGACTGTCAATCCAGAAACTCAGCTAATGTTCTGGGGGCTGGGTTCGAATCCCATCATGATAGATGGTGGAATTTGAAATCAATAAAAATACATCTGGAATTAGGAATCTGTGGATGACCGTGACACCATTGATGATTGTCAGAAAAATCCATTTGGCTCACTAATGTCCTTCAGAGAAGGAAATCTGCCATCCTTACCTGGTCTAGCCTACACGTGACTCCAGAACCACAGAAATGGGATTGACTCTTAAATGCCCCTGGGCATTTAGGGATGGGCAATGAATGCTTGCCTAGATAGTGACACTGCATTCTGTGAATGTATCAAAAAAAAAGCTGGAGTCCAAGCATTGATCCATGTGGTACCCCACTAGTCACTGGGCGCCACTCTGAAAAAGGCCTTATTATTCATACTGTTCATTTCCTGTCTGCCAGCCAGTTCTCTATCCATGTCAGTACACAACCCTAACCCCAAATGCTTTAATTTAACATGCTAATTTTAATGTGGGACCTTCTCAAAACCACAGTCATTGGTTTCCCCTTTATCAACTCTACTAGTTACATCCTTGAAAAATTCCATGTTTATTTTCAAGCTATGTTGTTTTATAGCTCCAGCATTTACTTTAGACTGTTACTTGTGACATACAGTACTCCAAAAACTCATCAGCATGGATATCATGCTATTGTGGAGAATCTGCCTGTCATAGTATATATCTGTCCAATAATTTTCATGTTCTGTTTTCAATTCTACCATCTTTTGAAGGAGTCAATCAACAGCTTCAATTGTTAGAGCTGGAAATGGATTCAAAAATTCAATTTTCACGAACTGCTTGCTCAGAAATATGCCTTCTCTTAGCTTATTACTCAGCTGTAATCCTTCTCCATTACTGTCCTAACAGCTTAATTTTTGCCAAAAATTAATTTTACTTTGACAAAAATGGAAAGTTTTTCAACTTTTATAGTTTCATTTTGATTCAACTCAGTTTTCCATTGAACAGAAGATCAAAAGCAATAATCATGAATACAATTTAAACTTTTAATTCATGTTCAATAATATATTAAAAAATAATTAGGAATGGTGTTGTACTGGAACTCCTAGATATCAATATTGTACAGATTAATGCTTCAAGCATGTACTTTTCTTGCAAATTCTTGCTTATCAGTGAAATACTTGCTGTCTGTTTCAACTAATTCATTACATGCTGGAAAACCCAAATTCCTTGAAATGGTTGAAGAATACTTGGAACATTTTAAAAAGTAATTAAATGACATCCAGAAACTTTTTTTTCTGACATATTTACAACTTTATTTCTCTGAGAATTTTCAGTATTAGTCAACTTTCTTATAATACGAACATATGAATCCAGATCAGGATTATGCCATTCGGCACCTCAAGACTCATCTGCTATTCAATAAATTTACATTTGATCTGATTCTAACCTCAAATAAGACCATAAGACATAGCAGAAGAATTAGACCATTTGGCCCATCGAGTCTACTCCACCATTTGATCATGGATGATATATTTCTCAACCCATTCTCCTGCCTTCTTCCTGTAACGTTTGACCCCTTA